GTTTTAGTAGAGCTCACTTTTCCACTTTTCTTTCCATTATCCCAATTTTTTTTTGAGATGCTGCCATCAAATCCAAATTGAACTTCTATTTCTTAGAAAATAGTCAAATCTTCAAACTTCTAAAAGTATGTTTAAAATGAACAAAGAAAAAAAATGTGTATATATATAAAATGTATTTCTGTTCCCTTACAGATAAATACTCAGAGAGTGCACTGGTGTGGTAGCGGTTTGCACTCTTGGAGTGCTTCTTTTGCTTGTTGATTTCTAAAGCAACTAAAACCATATTAATACTGATAAGATGACCACTATACATCGATATACATGATGTCTAAAAGTGTGGTTTGCATATTTAACTTCAACCATTTGTTCTTGTCATAAGCAGTATGCCGAGGCATGATCATTATGACGTCATCATGATCTAAGGGAAGTTTAGCTGTGCTGTATGCCAATCCACAGGGAAATACACAAATAGGAATGTCATTCTTTGTCCTCCCAGGTAACACTGGTTCACCCCAGTGAGGCAATCACAGTGCTGCGCAGTCTGACCAGAAAACACCCTGACAGGATTTACTTCAAGAGCTTCTTCCGCTCAGGCTACATCAATGAAACTACTGTCTGTAACGTATGTTTGCGTCCAACCCAGCAGCCTGTGTGCAACTACACTGACCTCAGTACAGGCGAGCCGTGGTTCTGCTACAAGCCAAAGAATCTGAGTTGTGATACCAGGATCAATCACTCCAAAGGAAGGCTTAAAAAAAACCTCATGACCACAGAGACCCTTTTTCAAAGGTGTGTATATGCCACATTATCTGTGTGACCTAAATGGGGAATTTCTAAAGTCGAGGCAAAAAGTGATTTTGAGGCTTTTCTTCCAAAAAGCTAATTATTTACACTCGGATATGAAGAAAACTTCGTCTGTACTTGTGTTAATGGTAAATGGGCAAAAAAAAGGGTATTTTTGTTTTGTTCTCTGCAATCTAAATCATTTTGTTGCGTGTGCTTTGCCTCAGTGATGTCAACATGAAAGTCTCCATTCCAGCTTCAGGACCTTCCTGTGTCACTGTTTTGCCAAAAACTAAAGGTAAATTACAAGTTTTCCAATTTTTTACATTTTTTTTAGTAGTATGGAGTAAGCTAAAAGTTTTTGGATGCGATGTTAGTGTTCATGTGGAGAGATAATCCCTAAGAAGTTTTTTTCAGTGCTCCTTCAGAAGCTTGACTGCTACACATGGATCACTCCCTGGAAGCCATGTTCTGTGCCCTTGCAGTGCTGGGTCTTCGTAACTGTGTCAAAACACAACTTGTCTTGATCTCACAATTTTCTTTGCACTGTGTGTGGGCCCACAGTTGTGTGCTGATACACACTACATGTTCAGATATACTCAGACTTCCCAAAATGTTACAGTACAGCTGTCCTTCAGGAATTCACCTGCACAAACCTGTAAATGTCAAACAGTGACTACAGTTCCAGTTGATCTCCCACTGGATGTGCTCTCTGCACAAATTTAAGGTCCATAAGTAAATGTAAGTGATTATAACAGGACCTTCCAGATGCAATTTAAAAGTAGCTGCAACAGAAGAGTGTCATAAATGAACCATGAGCAAGAGATAAGGTTTTTGGTTTTTCTGACTAGTTTCCAAAATGTTTTGATCACAACACAAGCTGCACTTAGCAGATAAAATGCTGAATGAAGTGCACCCTCTCTCTTTAATCTTCAGTTTGAGGCAAGTTTTCAACATCCACATATGTGGTGAGTTGTAAGGTTTACAATCAAGACAGATTATGATATGTTCAAAGCTGCCATGATTTCATGTAGATGGCCACAGGGTTAAACTGTTCCAAAACTAATATAGTGGTGTGAAGTCTTGCATCTGTAGTATGATGGTAGAGTGGCTTTTTTTCTCTGGAATTTGCTTAACTTACGCATGATTGCCACAGTAAGATTAGACTTATCAGCTGGTTAAAAATATACTATTATTTATTTTTTAACGTCTTCTCAGGTTGGTCCATGGTGAGTAGGCGCACTGTGAAGTCTAGACCCTCTGGGTATTATTTCCACGGTGTGTGGCGAGCATTACGTGGCCCCAGAGTTCCTCACTTCAACACTTCCTCAGCTATCACTCAGTGTCTGAGAGGAAAGGTGGTTCATATATACGGAGACTCCACCGTCAGGCAGTGGTTTGAATACTTTAACGCAACACTACCAGGTAGCTGCTCCACAAACCTCTCTGGCAACAATTTGATTTTTTTCACAGTGAAACTTAAATCATTCTCTCTGTATTATTTTCAGATCTTAAGGAGTTTAACCTGCATAGCCAGAAAAAAATTGGACCTTATATGGCTCTAGACTATGTGAACAACATCTTGGTGACATACCGCTGCCATGGTCCTCCTATCAGGTTTTCCAAAGTCCCAATCAGCGAGTTGCGCTATATTGCCAACGAATTAGACAGCTTGACTGGAGGCAGCGATACCGTCGTAGTTCTTGGCATTTGGTCGCACTTCAGCACTTTCCCCGTTGAGGTCTACATCCGGCGTTTGCAGAGCATCCGCAGGGCGGTGGTGCGGCTGCTGTCCAGGGCTCCAGATACACTGGTTGTCATTCGGACTGCAAACCCAAAAAATCTGACGCTCTATGAGACAATCACTAACAGCGACTGGTACTCGCTGCAGCGTGACAAGGTGCTCAGGGCCATGTTCAAAGGACTGAATGTCCATCTGGTGGATGCTTGGGAGATGGTCGTGGCCCACAACCTGCCACATGAACTCCACCCACAGCCTCCAATTATTGAAAACATGATTAATGTTCTCTTGTCCTACATATGCCCTAAAAAAGGTGGCTAGATGTGATTGTTTTTCAGCAGCCCATGCACACACACATTTATTCCTTGCTTATTTATAACAGAGATAAATAGTAATGAATAATTAAACTGAGCCTTTGGATTCTCATGCAACAATCCAGGAAATACTGGAACTCCTTATCTGACACACAAGCAGGATTTACATAAGGGAATATTGCCTCATACAGGCTCATTCCAATGAACCAATCTATGACACACTATGAATGTTTTATTGACAGTAGGTTGTAATTCAAAGTCACTTATTGAGTAGTTTACTCATTACCACAAAAGAAGTAAGCTTCACTATGCTGCCTTGCTTCCAAGAAAATGTGTTTTGCCAGAGTCATCTTTTCAGTGCAACTCTTGTGTTTTCTGCAGCAAATCAAATAACACAAAAAGGCAAAATAAAAACGTAAAAAGGGGTAACATTGAACAAAGTTAGAAATAATTCAAATGTTTGCCATAGATATATATTCAGGTGGACATAAAAATACCGAAATTAATGCTACTAAGAAGGGACATAAGATGGGATATAACATCTCGAAATAGTCACTGATTGTTAATTTAATAATGCTAAACATTACTTTATAAAATATGTAAACCCTGTAAAATGACGTCAGATTTTACACAACACTGCCAGTGAATTTGCATCTATTTCTAGAGTACTGTTGGGAGCATTAATCTGACTGACTTCTCAGGTATTACCTCTAGAGTTAAGTGTTTACTGAAAATATCACAAGACACGTGAATGTATTTTCTGGATTCATGAAAGGACAAAAACAAGAAAAATGTTCTCCAGCTGAATGAAAAGAAAAAGGAAGTCCTTGTCTTTGCCCGTGACAGATTAAGTTAATGACAACTTAGGTTCTCTTGCCACATTTGCTAAATCTTCTATCAGGAACCTTGGTGTAACGTTTGACTCTGTCTTCACTGTCAATGCTTACTTTAAATCTCTGGTTCGTTCTTATTTCTGTTACTTGGATCACCAGGTTGAGTTCTACTGTGTCAGGCTTTGGATTGATATTTGTTATTTATGCCTTTATTTTATCACATCTGGATTACTGTAAATTCATTGTTTACTGGTTTTAATAAAGCATCCTTGGAATGCCTGCAGGTTGTTCAGAACGCTACCCACATACATTAATCCAGGTGCACTGATTCTCCATCAACTTCAGATTCCACTTTAAGATTGTGGGTTTTTTTTTACTTTTAGAGCTCTGCATGCACAAACATCCACTTTTCTAGCACCAGCTCCAGACCCCGAAACTCTATGACGCTGTGATCTCTTTTAAAAAGCAACTAAAACCTCATCTTTTTAAACTTGCTAATGGATAACCTTTTTGTTTTTATGTTGTCGCATTTTTGTTGTGTTGTTTGTAATATTTATCTCGAGAGGTGCTAAATAAATAACATTTATGACTAAATATAATGTAATTTAAACATAAGACTGTTAAATTAAAGTATTGTTTAAAACTGGTTTATGTTTTTAGTTACAGTTTTATTATGTTGGAAAAAGAATTATTTTTTGCTATTGGTTATTCAAACTACTTACAATTCAATAAAATGTTATTTATATACCAAAGTGACCAATAACAAGACACTTTATATGATAAGAGACAGATATCAGAAACAGAGCCTCAACATCATACTGACTGAATTATGCTAAGGACAATTTGGAGAAAAATTATTTATACCAAAAGCATGACCTGTGGTCAGATGAGACTAAACTAGGTCTATTTGGGTAAAGAGATACTGCTCATGTTTGAAGAATGAATCCATCCACAACCCAAAGAATACCGTCCCCAAAGTAAATATGAATAATGAAATGAAAAAGATATGAATAATGAAAAAAGATATGAGAAGATTTTGAAAGTAGTCAGCAGCAAAACTTGGGTTCTCGTGTTCTCTTTCAACACGGGGCGATCGTGGCTCAAGAGTTAGGAGTTCGCCTTGTAATCGGAAGGTTGCCGGTTCGAGCCCCAGCTTGGTCAGTCTCGGTCGTTGTGTCCTTGGGCAAGACACTTCACCCGTTGCCTACTGGTGGTGGTCAGAGGGCCCGGTGGCGCCAGTGTCCGGCAGCCTCGCCTCTGTCAGTGCGCCCCAGGGTGGCTGTGGCTACAACGTAGCTTGCCATCACCAGTGTGTGAATGTGTGCATGAATGGGTGGATGACTGGATATGTAAAGCGCTTTGGGGTCCTTAGGGACTAGTAAAGCGCTATATAAATACAGGCCATTTACCATTTTCAACACGACAATCTCCAAAAATATACGTTGGCATTCTGGTCTGCACATAGCCCTGATTTGAATCCCATTCTCAGGGGTGAAGACCAAGAACCATGCCAGAAGATGGTCAAATCTGGAGAAGTTTAAGAGATTTGCCAAAGAAGAATGGTCTAGGACTGCTCAGGTGGTGCATGTGAGACTTGTTGAAAAAGACAACAAAGGACTGCTGGCTGTTATCCAGCAAAAAGGATTTTCAACATAATTACTGGCAACAGAGGGGCTAATAATGTTGACTCTGGCATATTTTAGTTCTTGTAAAATTATTTTTAATACATAAAAAGAGAGGGTAAGCAGTGCTTTAACAGGAAGAGACCTCGGGTAGAACTTGATTATCTGGAAGGCATGTTTTTCAGTTTAGTACAGAAATGACTAAGCATTAACAATACACTGATTTTCATGCTTTTAGCATTGTATTTTACATATCTCCTTCACAGTTACTTTTCTTAAAAGCTTTGTTGAAAGTTTTTTGCAGAATGAAAATCAGCACTTGATAATTTGAGGAGGTTCCTTTCACACCGACTTGATCATCATTCTTGTGGCCTTGGCTGAGTATGGTGCAGGTGGTTTCCAGGTGCGCCAGTGGAGGCCCGAAGCCCAACCTATGTGTTCACCGTAGGAATGCCAGTCACCGTTTAGATTGGCGGACCCACACTTGCTGTACCACCACCCGCCGCCCTCTCTAACGGTACATGCTCCAACAGCAATGTCACCAAAGATGCAGGGGGAGCAGCCATCACTATCGCGGTCAACTGTGCTAAAGCCATAGCCATTCTGATCAATGCCTTTATAGGCACCACGGATGGCATCACCTTTGGATAGAGTGGGAAACAAATCAAGAAAAATGAATTTTTAAAATTGACAGGGTTTCTTTAAAGTACAAAAAAAGAACAATATCTAACACCTGATTGCATTAACAAACAGTGAGTAACATTTATGTGTATATAAAAAGCAAAAGAAATATGGCGACAGTAAAAACTTCAACAGGCTTCAGGCTTCAGTACCTGCATTTCCATGGTACTTCCCAACATGTAGTTTGAACGCAGTTTTCTCATTTCCCAGTCTAAAGTTTTTGTACTCAGCGAAAGCAGTCCCATCTTCATGATCCCACAGATCCACCCTCATTGTCCACTTCTTGGACTTGTCTTTGGTAAGATAAAAAATCTTATTCAGCCCGAGCCAGTGGTCCTCTGAAAGTCAAAGCACAAAGAAATAAATGGTAAATGGCCTGTATTTGTATAGTGCTTTATTTAGTCCCTAAGGACCCCAAAGCGCTTTATACTACATTACACTACAAAGAAAAGATTTAATATTTTTATGTTAGATCCATTCTTGATCTCTAGGATTATATATCACTACATCATAATAATAATCATTGTAATTTATTTACGTGTCAGGTTTCCAAAGCCAGTTTTATATGCTGCCCATTTTCTGTGGAAAGAAATGGCTCCTCCGCTTCGTTTTTGAAACACCGTCCAGCCTCCATCTGGATGCATCTCACAGTAGACCTGAGTAAGAAGTTCATTCACCACATATTAAGAAATTCAGCTGGCATTTACTTCTACTTTTTATCTAAGGAGCAAGAAACATTTTAGAATATGGCCTACAAGTAGTGGAGTAATTCACCTGTAATAAATGGAAATTGAATATTTTATTTGAAATTACAATCTAATCATACTAACCTATGAATACTTAAAAGTAGGTACACTACAATAACTCGGGTTTTTACAGGAAACAAAGAAATTATTATATTGTATGTTAAGTACAGTGTAAGTAATTTTAGCTTGTGTAAAATGTTATGGTCATTTTGCAGAAAAATAAATATTTATGTATCTTACATCCATTTAGATAAGGGGAAATTACACCCTTGGTCGGGGCTATATTATCGAGTATATAACCAGAAGCTCAGTGTGCTTTTTGTTTAACATTATTGTTTACTTAATAGTTATGAATATAAAGTAAACTGTATCCTGTTATCTATAACCAAATGAAACCTTGTTCTGGTGAAATCATTTGATAGATAAATTGCAGTTATAGTTTACAGTGCTGCTTCTGTTTGCTGTGATCTTATAAACATGACTTTGTTATTATTTCTTGGCTCGATCGATACCTTAAACTTGGTCGCGGCTCCATTTGGCTGGATCGTATAAACGCCACTGGATGCTCGTGGTGACAGAGTCTTAATCTGTGTGCAGTCTGTTCCTGAGGCGTACACCATAACAGAAAGAAACACAATAAGAAGCAGAAGAATAAGACTGAAATAGTATACTTATCTGAGTAATAACAAACAAGATGATCCATACCTTGAGGAGAACCTGCTTTGTCCTGTCTCTAGCAATACAAAGAAACAGTTTTAAAGTGAGTCTTAACCTTGTTTAAATATCCATCTTAAATACTGACAATACAGAAGCAGGACAGACCAAGTAGGGAAAGAATTTTAAAGCTCTTACTTTTACCCCGGCCTGTTCTGTGCAGCTCGAAAGAAATGCCAGGATGAGTCCACAATACACAACCAGACTCTTCATTTTGACCTGTGTTTAAAACAGACCAGACTGTAAACAGTGTTTAGTCCAATGAAAATTGCTGGTAACTCTGCTCTCAGAAGATGACTGGCTGCTCAGAGTAACTCTGTCCTGTTCATTACTGCAGCAGTAATAGTCAACAGTTTTTTCTCCAAACACATACTTGCGTGTTAGGTGAACCTTAAACCCCGTCTCAAGATTAACAACAGCAGCAGTCCCTTTATCCAATAGCTTAACTACCACACCCCCTTCACTGCTATGACAAGCGCGTCACTTCCTACCTTAGGTCAGTGTGAGTGTGACAACTCAAATCTGAACAACTGATGCAGTCATCCAACATGAACTGCAATGTTCTCTGAAAGAGCTTGTTTACCTAATGTTACGCAACTTTCACAATGCTAATTTCTCAGACCTCTCTGGCTACACCTCTCTCTAACATTCCAACTGAGTAGTTCTATTTGCACAGCAATAAAGTCAATGTTTGTGGAAGCCAGTTACAGACATTATCTTTTTATTGACTCGGATAGCAAGGGATGTTTACAATTGCTCCTTTGGCGTCTGTAGTTAGAAAAATTACATGTTTCCCTTAAATCTAAATTTCTCTTCAGATATTGTTATTCCCCAGAGACTCTGCTCAGTCATTTCTTCTTATTCTTGAAGATGATAAATTTGATGTAGATATGAAACTGAAAGAATAAATTCTAATTACTTTTAAGCAATTGCCTAACTTTTTATTTAATGGCTCCACCAGATGAAATGTTTTAACCATTTAAGCATGGCACCAAATTTTCCAGTTATTTATGGTTTGTAGTAGTTTCAGTGATCGCCAGGTGTCCCATGAGACGTGTAGTTTTAAGTAAAATGTTTTTGCAACTTTTAACTTCAACTTTTTACTATGAAGTCTCAAACCAAACTCTGGAAGTTGATCAAAAAACGATTTATGTCTTATTTTTCCAAATGTTTACAGTAACTTTGGATAAAGCACTTGTGAGATGCTCCACATTTCCCTTGTGTATCTGTGATAATGTCTATATGTACTCTAGCAGGATGATCTTTGTGGTTGTTATGCTACAATCACAGTAGGAAAAACAGTGGTTGGAGAATGCAACACAACCAAAATTACTGTGTATGGTGCGCAATGAACTTGGTTGTTTCGAGTGATTGTTTCGACGACGGGGCCAGCATGACGCACAGGGTGACGGCTGAGGGAGTTGCATGCTTAATCTCTGGGTGACCTTGGTTAGAGCAACTACTTCCAACTGGTTTTTGACAGCAAAGAAATTGCAATTTTTTCTAGGGAGGTTGCAATCTACTCTGGTGTGACTGAGCCATTAAATACAAAAAAGCTAGACTGTGGTGAGTAGAGCAGACAATAATAGCAATTAAGTATGTTATTGTGTGTACCCAATAGGGTAAGCATGAACATGCATGAAGATTGTCACACATACAGCGATTATCAACAGCTATACATATAATTCTTTTGATTTTCATATTTATCATCCCCCTGTGAATCCAATGTTATTTGTTTCCACAATGGAATTTCACCACTAAATAGGGAATGAAGAAATTGAAAAATTTGGTGTAATTTGGTGTAACTTGGTGTACCTATTTCTACTGGTCATGTCATCGAGTCAAGTGCTGACTTGGAGTCAAAATTGGGACCAGTCATTGGTTGGGAGCAATGGGACATCTGCAAAAGGGATGTTTAGTGCAGCTATCAAGTTGAAAGCTAGCAGTTACAGTATTAACATTTTATAACCTGTTACCTTGGTCTTGAATATTATTAATGGAATGAACATGGTTTCTGCCATTTTTATGGTCATTTTTTTTTACCTCTTCTTTTGTGGCAAACTAGTAATGGAGTGGGCTCATTGGAGGGTGAAAGAAGGTATCTTTTGTAATTAACTGATTTAAGCCTTGTGTAACAGAGATGACTGTTAAGCTGTGAATGCTAAGTTATGAAATTTGGGCATGTGATATGGTACTAAGGTTTATCCAATTTATTGTAAATCTATTGTGTGATATGTGTAGTGTGGTGTATTTTCCAGTTGTTTAATGATTCAAAAGCTGTATATTTTAATTATATAAAACTCTAAGTAGCCAATTATGACCAACTGTCACCAACATGATTATCACTATTGTTTTCATCAGCAGTGAGTTTGGAATTATTTGCCACAATTATTCATCGGTTTTAGTGACAAAAATATTTTTAATGCACTGCCATCTACACCAAACACTGCTTTCGCATTTTCTCACCTGTACAAATCTTTACATCCAAGTGAAACTGGTCTTCCTCCTTCCTCCTGCTTTAATTCAGTGCATCTCTTATCAGAAAAATAAAAAATTGACACCAAAACTTAAAGAAATTACATCAACAGGGCATTGCCTTCACTTTTACATTGTCCTACATTCCTGCAAATTAAAATTTCTTTGCAGGAAATGTGTTTAGTATAAGTCCTTCACTACATGCATTGTAGGGGGGTATGAAAAGGGGAAAAAAACCCAAAGAAAATGCTTGGACACTGCTAGCATGGGCGCCCACACAAAGGCAAAGCAGGAGATGAAGCATCGCTGAATATGTTTCCAAAACAACTTCATTCTAAGCAAAGACTAGAAAATATGGTGAAGCATATCTTCCCTTTGGCTTCACCTGCACAAGTGCCAAGATAGGTCTCCCTTGCATAATTGGTTTTCCCTTTGTTGGAAGCACGCGTTGGGCTCTTCAAATCACGGACAAACAGTATCCCACATTCTTAATTTTTAGTTCACAAACACTTCTTTAATGACTAACTACTGACATTTTGGGGATGTTAGCTCTTTATACAGTAAGGTTACAGTGGGATACAAATAATATCAGGCTGATCCTGCCACGATTTGTTCCCTCAGTTCAAATCACGGACTAACAGTATCCTACAGTTGTTTATGTTTTTAAACCCATTTTGCACAGAGAAGCATTTTTTGACAAATGTATTGATAGCAATGTTGAATATTATTATCCATCCATCCATCCATCCATCCATCTTCATCCGCTTT